GGAAAGAAGAAGGAACCCATCATGTGGTGGATTCAGGTGCTTGGTTAACTCTGGGAACCTGTGACTTCACTCCTGGAATCCTCCAGTCTGTCTCTATGGCATACTGCTTGTTAAATGTTCAGTCCTTACTACAATTGGAACCTTTCTCAGTCACAATTTTTCGGTTTCCTGCTCAGGCCAGCCATTTTCCCAGTTAATAGAATTCTGGATTATCTGCCCATTTAATTTCACCTGTCAACTCTTACTATTCCTGAGTGAGAAATCTATCAACTTTATTATAAAAGTTAATGTAAACAGAAAGGCCATTTCTGAAATTCATTAAAATGTTACTGCTTTGCTTGCAAATCTGAAAGTCCAAAGTATGGGAAACATGATGCAGGTATTCATGGTGGTTAAGATTACCAAAGGAGGGCTGGAGAGATGACCCAGTGGTTCAAAGCAGTGGCTGCTCTTGCAGAGCACTCACTCAGGTTTGGTTCCCAGCACCGACATGGTGGCTAACAACTAACTCCAGTTCCAGGGTCACCCTCTTTTGGCCTCCATGGGCATTGCATTCAGGGATGTATCTTAAGTACACACTCATGAAGATTACCAAAGGAGAAATTCAGTCATGCTGCTTTAAGAAATGCCCAAGTAAGATGTGTACCATGAGCACCTCCATTAGTAAGGGGTGCCAGAGGATAGGTGGAGCCAGGACTGAGCCATTGGGACCAGGGAAGAGGCATCAAAGACTTACTGGGGGTAGACAATGGTCCCCATGAGTGAAATACAGACCCCAAACTGTCCGTTTGACGTGGCATGCAGTGATCGTTAGCTCTAGTTTAGCTATTCCACACCAGAGGCAGATGCCATGTTACTCATGTTTGAGGAGGGAAAGCATAGAGATAAGCATAGACAGGAACCAAGTGAGGTAAGGAACAACCAGGAAAGAGTGAACAGGCAGACCAAAGAAGACTTTTAAGATGAAATAGATTGCCTTGTTCATTCAGCTGCTTAATGTACTGCGTGCCCTTGAGATGCCAGTGGTTCTGGATAAGCGTTAGGAAGGTAAGCCATGTACAGGCAACTTATGCATGTGTGTGAATGCTTGGTTTAGGTCTGGAGATGAAACAGAACAGCTGGAAGAAAAACTGTCTGGAATATGCATCTACCAGACAGTGGGAAATTTTCATCTCAGAACACTCCCTTCAGAGGGTATCTACAGAAGGAAGCAGCTTTTTAGAAAACGTGAGTTTTGCCTGCTTGTGTGTAAATGTACCATGAGAGTGCAATGCTCATGAAAGGCCAGAAAAGGGCATCAGATCCCCTAGAACTGGAGTTATGGATAGCTGTTAGCCGCCTTATGGGTTCTGGGAACAAAACCCAGGTCCTCTGCAACAGCAGCCAGTGGTCTTAACCACTGAACCAGCTCTCCAGTCTTGGAAAGCAACTTCTTGGTGAGACAGTGTAGCACAACAGTGACAGCTCTGCAGCCATGCTATGAATCAGTCCATTTGGAGCCTTTTAATCTCCCTGGGCCTCAGTTTCTTTGCCTGTAAATAGGCATAATAGTGGCTACCTCATAGGAGTGTTGTAGTTAATGAGTTAATAAGTGGAAGCACTTAAGACAGCCTGGCACATAATAAAGGTTCAATATATAACTTAAAAGGGATGCAGAAAAGCTTGTAGTCCAGAGCCAGCCTGGAGGCAAACTACCTGGTTCTGCTCCTAACTAGCTGGGCAGCTTTAGGGAAGTTACCAAAATATGCTTGAGCCTGTTTTCATCTGTAAAATGGGGATAACTGTAACCCCTACCTCATTGGATTATATAATAGGATTGATGTATGGGAAGGGCCTCAATAGGCATACTTAAGTGTTGCTGATGTTTGCATTTTTAAAAATATTTTTTCATTTTATGTGGATGAATGTATTGCCTGCATGTGTGTAAGTGCACCCATGTTATGCAATGCCTGTGGAGGTCAGAAGAGGGCATTGGAACTCCTGCACCTGGAGTTAGAGAAGGTGCTCAGCCACCATGAGTAGGCGCTGGGAAGTAAACCTGGGTCCTCTGCAAGAGCAGCCATTGCTCTTTACCCCTGAGCCATCTTTCCTGCCTGTTAGCATTTCTTGAGTCTTAAAATTTGTTTAGACTTTGGAACTGTCCATTCATTGACAATGGTTCTGTGAGCTGTTTCCAAGCACACACACTGAATCCCTGATTGTACATCCTCTCATGCAAGCTGAGTCCCTGGGATCCTTACCTCAGGACTGGGAGTGGAACTGGGGATGGAACTCAGAGCATTGTAAGTGCCAGGCAAGCGCTCTACCACTGAACTCTGACACCAATACTTAAGTAAGTTTTAAAACACTTTTTGGGGTGGGTTGGATAATCAATGGTAGAGCACTTGCTTGGCATGTACAAGGCCCTGGGTTCAATCTCCAGTATCTGTCGGGGGGGGTGCAGTCAAGTCCACACAACATTTTAGCCTTTGTATATTAGGCTTTATTTTGGTTGTCTTCAACAGAAAACACAATTCAAACAAAATAGACTTTTCTTTCATATGTGAAACATTTGAATGCAAATTAGCCACCACTACAGAGTCAGTTGTCAACTTCATGAAGTTCTTTCTGATCAATGTCCCTTCCATGTCCCATGCTGTAATTTAAGACTTATTTTTAAAGAAATTACAGTTTTAAGATTGAAATTTTTTAAAATATTTTTTTAATTTTATGTGTACAAGTGTATTGCCTGCATGTATGTGAGTGCACCCATGTTGTGCAGTGCCATGGAGGTCAGAAGAGGGCTTCAGGTTCCCCTGGAACTGGAGTTAAGGATGGTTCGTAGCTGCCATGTGGGTGCTGGGACTCAAAACTGGGTCCTCTGCAAGAGCAGACAGTGCTCTTAACCGCTGAGCCATCTCTCCAGCCCCAAGATTGAAATATTTTAGTGAAATGTCAAAAGCTTAAAAATTAAAGTCAATAGGGCTGGAGAGATGGCTCAGTGGTTAAAAGTGGTGACTGCTCTTGCAGAGGACCCAGATTTGATTCCCAGTACCCACATGGTGGCTTAGCAGCTGCCCATAACTCCAGCTCCAGGGGACCTGACACCCTGATTCCAAGGGCATTGCATGACAGGGGTGCACTTACACACATGCAGGCAATACACTCTTACACATAAAAATAAGAAAACTACTAGGCTGGATGAATGTTATATGTTAAAAATGTGTATCTTTTCATAGATTTTTGGTCTAGCTCTAACTTGCATTGACATTTTAACATAAGCAGTGTAAAAGTTCAGGACCACACCAGGAGAAAATGTCTGACGTAAACTTTTGGTATAACTCAAGGAGCAGCATAGACCCCAGGTGAATTATGACTTCCCTAGAACCTCCAGTGTGTGCCCCCACAGACGGGGATCTATCATAGTTAATATTCTTTCCTCAGGAGAGAGGGGTTGCAAGGGCTAGCACATTTTTACAGCTGACACTACAGAAAGAAGGCACTAACCCACCCTGCCAGATCAGCAGGTTGACTGCAGGACTTCAGGGGAGAAGTGCTGATAAAGCCGGATACTGAGTGTGGAGGTCTGCGTCTGCAGTTACTGTAAAACTCATTTGTTAGGCGAAATATCTGGGAACATTTCTATTCAGAGAGGTTTTTTTTTTTTTAAGTATTTTGAAGGTTTTTAGCACTTTTTCAGATCATAAGAATGGAATGACCTGAAACAAGTAATCTTAAAAGTCAAAAAAGAGGGCTTTTTGGAAAATTGGACCCATCAAGTCATAGGAACGGGAACTGGAAACACAATCCAGTTTAAAGTCACTAATATTTAGAAAGCCTCTGTTACCTCAGTGCATTATTTCCTTGCTTTTTGTGCAAAAACCTGTTTATTCCAAGAAAAATACAAAGAGCTGTTTTGTTGAGATCTAGTGAAACTAGTGAGGACCAAGCCTTTAACAAAGCCTTAAACAGCCCTTTATTGCCTCAAAAATACTTGTGTCCTTTTACTTTGAATTGTCCCAGTGTCTGACTACAGAGCTCAAAAAGAAATAGAAGTGCCAGGGCTGGCAAGACGGCCCAGTGGTTAGCACTGGTTGCTCTTGCAGAGGACCCTTGTATGGTTCCCAGCACCACATGGTGGCTGATGGCTGTCTGAAATTCCAGTTCCTGGGATTCTATGCCCTCTTCTGACCTCCATAGGTGTTGCATGACACAGGTGCAATTGCATACATGCAGGCAATACATTCGTATGCATTAAATAAAAATAGTATTTTTTTTTTGGTCTTTTTGAGACAGGGGCTCCCTGCAGCCCCAGCTGTCCTGGAACTCACTATGTAGACCAGGCTGGCCTTGAACTCACAGAGATCCGCCTGCCTCTGCCTCCCGAGTGCTGGGATTAAAGGCGTGCGCCACCACGCCCAGCTTATTTTTTTAAAAGAAGAAACAAGTGCCCTGTGCATTTCCCTGCTTACACAGACAGGCATTTTGGAAATAGTCTCTGTCTGGCTCTAGAGCCTGATGGGGATGAGCAAGTCCAGGGTGGAGCCTCTTAGGGCCACTGGGGCAGGCTGGGCCTTCATGGCAACAGCAGCTGCTTCATCCAGCCGAGCATGCAGCATTTTCTTGATAAGAGTGAGTACAGCCCAGTTGGACCAGATGGCTTGCGCCTCACCTTGCAATGCTTCAGGGAAAGTGTCTTTACAGGAATGCATTGTAGACAAACATCTTTGACTTTGTTTTCAGAAAAATCATACATTATTGCAAATGTCGGCATTTATATCAGCTGCCCTATGTTGCATGCATGCAATTGACTCTAATCCCTAAAAGAATCCTGCAGTGTAGGAACTGGGTCTATAAAGTACATATGAGGAACCATTTAAAGAGATTATGTAACTGTTGAAGATTCAGAGGTTTAGCTGGCTACCTGAAACCTGGATTCTAAAGGTGATTATGACTATTTTTGAAAACGGACTGAAGTTTAAGTAAAATGAGCAAAAGTTTTTATTTTGCAGCTTGCAGTCTTAGAGAAAAGGCTTCATCATCTTATGTGTAATGTGGCTTTCTGGGCAGCTGACATCATCATAGAATTTGACTGGAATTTCCCTTTCTTGGAAATGAATGGGCATTTTCTTGCCCTCAACACTCATAAGCTTCACTGACAGTGGGCCCAAGTTTACATAATCCTGTGGTGAAGACACAAGAGGAGAGGTTATCTGTCAAGTTAGCCATGACAAATGCAGTTTTCTTTATTGCAGTTGACCTTTACCTGACAGATTTCTTTGCACTATTGATTGTGTGAAAGTTGTATGATACACAAAATATGAAGTCCACTGTTAAAATTTTAACAAAATACCAACTTTTAAAGTTTATTTTCCCCGTGGGCCACAATAGAAAGATCTCCAAATGAGCAAGCAGAAGGCTGGTAGTCTTGTCTCAAAGGGAGGTGAGGCGAGGAGGGGACTGGCAGGAGAAGGAGCTATATTCCCTGCAAGCTGTCTTGTTTGAAAGAGTATTGGACATACATAGCACTCTACTAGTGTGAATGGAAGTTTCCAGAAAAATTGTGCATCTTGAACTGAACTTCCTGCAAGGCTGACCAACAGATTAGTACTTCAGTGACTGTGGAGTTTGGAATATTGCAGATCCAGAGCCTTTTTTCAATTTATCTTGGGCCATGTTTAGCCTTTAACTAGCCACTCCTTGCCTACCTCTGTCTCTGACATAACATCTTGTGACTAACAGATAAAAATAAACCTTTCAGAATGTATTAACAAAGCCCTAGCTCCCACCAACCAAAAGGCTAAGAATACCATCAGATAACATCTGAGGCCTGGAGCTGAGATTTCTCTTTTGCAGTATCTGCCTACTTAATTTTCCACTAATGTAAAAAGCTTCAAGAAACTGCTTCCACACTGGAACATGGAATTTGGGGTGACGTGAATCTGTGTTCCCAGGCCTTGATCATTTATATTTGGCTCTAGAATAAACTCTTATCCTCTTGGTCATGGGAGTTATGCTTCTGCACTGACACTAATCAGGACATAACCACAACAACTTTACTTTATTTTCCAAAACAAAGGGAAGGATTCTACAAGTGCTACTTTGATGACAGATAGTGTAATACTAAGCCATTTTCTCAGAAACTTTTTTTTCAGAGAATCTTTGGCTACTGTATAAGTAAAACTTACCCATTCTGCCAAGGTATCAAGAAGCCAGTGGACAAACAATTAGAAAGCTAGTTTACATAAAATCTTCTTGCCAACCCCAAACAGGCCCTATCTGACATCTTCTCTGGAAGACTCACAAGCCATAACTCACATTCTGAGTAACATCATATCAGCCAGCCTTTCTGGAGTGCTCCCTCTGCCCATCAAGGGCTGATAAGCACAGACTGGCCAGAGAGACCAAATTAGCATAGCTTCTCTTTTTATTGGCTTTTTTTGGTCCTCTATAATCCTGTAAACAATTTGTGGGTAGGGCTCACATCTTTGAGATTTCATTGCCTCATTCTCCTTAAATTCCCAAGCATTTAACAAGTACCTGTTGTGTTGCAGGCTCTTAATACTTCAGAAAATTTAAAAGAATGAAAAGAGGAGGCAATGTCATAGAAGTCCTGCCTATCAGAACTCACAAGAAAACTTCTTTCATCAACCCAATGGCATTCAGTTTGTAGACAACTGTCCACAATTACCTGGTATCAGCATGACATATCAGAAGTCACAATTCTAGGATACAGCTGGGGATGCCTGGATGTTTAAGTGACAGAAAGACTAGAACTTTCATCCTTTAAAAAATGTTTGCAGTGCTGAGAATCAAACCAAGAGCCTTGTGCATGCTTGGCAAGCACTCTACCTCCTGGCCATATTTTCAGCCCCCAAATTTTTTGCCTGCATGTAGGTAAGTGCACCTGTGTCGTGCAATGCCCGAGGAGGACAGAAGAGGCTGTCGGAACTGGAGTTACAGACAGTTGCTAGCTGCCATGTGGGTGCTGGGATTCGAACCTGAGTCTTCTGCAAGAACAGTTACTGTTCTTAACCGCTGAGCCATCTCTCCAGCACCCTTCCCCCCAATTTTAGTTTTCAAATGATCACTTGAAGGGATGTAGCTCAGTGGTGGAGTGCTTATCTAATACATGAGACACCCTAGGTTCAGTTACCAGTACTGAAATAAAGGGATGAGGACAACTGGAGTTACTCTTTCCTCAAATTTAAGCCTACCAGAATCAGATATTCAGTGGAACTTTAAAAAGGAAATTCTTTCTGGGTGTGGTGCTGTACATATTTAATCCCAGCACTTGGGAGGCAGAGGCAGGTGAATTTCTGTGCATTCAAGGTCAGCCTGGTCTACTTGTCAGCCTGGTCTACATAGCAAGGTCCAGGACAGCTGGTTACCCTGTCTCAGAAAAACAAAAACAAACAAACAAACGGCTGAGGCAAGAGCATCTCAAGTTTGAGCCTGGGCAACACCTAGAGATCTTCTCTTAGATAAATAAATACATAAATGGTCACTTTATGGTAGCAGGAATGAACTGTAATTAGTTAAAATGGTGGCTTATTCCATTTTTTTCTACTTTCTTACATCTCTCTCCTACCAGGCTCTTAGTTTTAGGAGACTTATAAAGTTTAGTACCAGAAAGGAAACTAGAAAGGCATGACTTGGGGGAGGAGGTTGTGACTAAAGATAGTTTTTTTTGTTTGTTTGGGTTTTTTTTTTTGGTCTTTTTGAGACAGGGTCCCCCTGCAGCCCCAGTTGGCCTGGAACTCACTATGTAGACCAGGCTGGCCTTGAACTCACAGAGATCCACCTGCCTCTGCCTCCCAAGTGCTGGAACTACAGGTGTGTGCCACCACGCCTGGCTCTAAAGAGAGTTTTATAAATTAAAAGGTTTGATTCTAGAGTATCCACTAGTATATATGTGGTAGTTTGTACTTTCCAAAGATGGCCTGATAAATATCCAATCCCACTGGTTTTTATTTTGTTTTTCGTTTGTGCGTTTTGTTTTCTTTTGTTCTTCACAATCTTCCATCAAGATACAGGAACTATGTTTCCCCCCTTTGGGAATTTTGCAACTACCTCAGCCAATAGAAAACGATAGAAGTGATGGCACATGGTTTCCAAGGCTAGGTTACAGGAAGCATTAAAGCTGTTTTCTTTTTCACCAAAATATCTTGCTCTGAGAGAAGTCAGCCACCACAAATTACAAAGGGGCCACTCCGAACACCCTCTAAGAGGCTCATGTGAACAGAAACTGAGGTCCTGCTTTAGCTGGCTGGCTGCATCCTGTCAGACATTCCACTGTGGAGGTGGCTCCTCCTGCCTCAAACTTTCAGATGAGTGTGGTCCCAGATGTAACCACCCAAGTGAGAACTCAGTAGAGCCCTTTCTCAAGTCCTAACCAACAGAAGGCCTGAAAGAGAATAAAAATTGTTTTCAGCTACTATGTTTAGGGGTCATTTGTTATGTAGCACTGAATTACTTACATTATATACTAGTAATGGAGGTCAATAAATGAATCTGGTGGCAAATTGGTCAAAGGTAGGAGTAAAAGCAGTTTCCTATGAGATGTGAGTAGTGGGCCAGTAAAATTCTAATTTTACTTAGAATTAAAAATCAAAATTGAATATTCATATTTTAGGCTTTTCCCTTACACCAGCATTCTTCTGAGGGTCAAAGTCAAGTTCTCCTGAATCCTACCTTGAAGTCCTGCTCATCCTTGTATAGTAAATACTTCATAACAGAGCCCTTGGACTCCTCGCGTGACCCGTCCTCCCATTCTGTCTCTAAGTGCAGGACTTCTTGCATGATATCTTCACGGCTGCTCTCTAATAATAAGCTCAACACATCTCCACTCTCTGCTTCCAGTACAGGGTACAGTTTTGACTTCTCTTCTGTAATGAAAGTATCAAAAACATTATGTACATATTTTGAGCAGAGAACAAAATGTAATCCATCTTTTGTCACATTTTTAATTTGAAAGAACTCTGAACTTAGAAAAAATAAAGTTGGGGGCTGAGGAACTAGCTTGGATATCACAATTGCCTAGCCTTGTGAGACCCAGGTCTCACAGTGAGAGCCCAGGCAACCTCCAGCGCCACAACAACAAAAAGTTTTTAAATAAAAAATTACAGAATTTATGGACTAAAGTAAGAGGCAGCCTCATTTTAGGAAACTTATATTTCCTTCTGATAGCTAAGAAGATAACAGTAAACATTTGGGAACTAATGTATGTGTTGGCATTTCGGTTGACTAAACTGGGACCCAAATTCTTATCAGTGTAGGTAATGTCCCATCCCTCTCTACGAGTATGTACTTAATTCATTGTAAAATGTGGTAAGTTGATAGGAAATGGGATTAGATCTCAGGCCCATTAGGATCTGAATGACAGCACTTGAGAAGCTGAAGCAGAAGGATCCTGAGATCGAGGCTAGCCTGGACTCTGTAGTGAGACACCGAGAAAGAAGAAAGGCTAGGGAAAAGAGGGAGAGGAAGGAGGGAGGAAAACGGGGAGGAAAGGGAAAGAGAAAGGAAGCAAAGAGGTGAGAGATGTTAGACTAGGACAAGCATTGCAGGAAGAGGAGCGAGAGGAGCCACGTGTATTTCTCTGTGCATAGCTCCTGCATGCAGGTGCCTGCTCATAACAGATGCTCAGATAGCTTACTAAATCAAGAAAAAAATCGCAGTAAAATAACACCTTTATAAGTCTCTGGCAACTTCACAGGCATTTCTTCAGGCAGCACTTCCTGCCCAGTGGCTTGATTAAGAAACAGTTTCCTAAAGGAACAACAAGAACAAGTCTGTCAGTCAAGAAATCTTGTACTGTGTGCTCACTAGTGCCTGTTTCTCTCCAGAGTACTGGAAAGAGAAAACAGACCATAGTTCACGTGCTTGGAGAGCAGAAGGCCTGTTGAAATGGTAAACAATACCACAGTGTTTTACAGTGACAACTTCTGACATGATGTATAATTAGCAGTGTGAGAATGCTGGGAGCAGAAGGAAGCACCCCTTGACTAGTCTTAGAGATACAGAAGTTTCCTGGAGGAGATAAAATCTGAATTGGCTCTTGAAAAACCAGAAGTTTACCAGGGAAGAGCTGGGTGGGAGGGGAGGGCATTCTAAGCTAAGGGAGAGTCCCTGAACAGACAGTGAGAATGATACCAGTTAGGATGCTGTTAGTAAAGTAAGGAAAAACAGAGTCCTGAATGGGATGGTTTTGAGATGATGAGAGAGGGAAGAAACAGTAGTAGGAATCCAAGATGCCATCTGCTTCTGGGCTTTCACTGAGTGGCATGTTTCAGCTGTCCACCCAGTGAACTGGTATGCATATGTATGCTGCTGCAGTCTCTGTGCACCTTTAATTCTGTGCACTGGTCAGAATGTGCACTGGATTTTCAAGAAGGAAATATATAGCTTTGAACTGGGAGTGCAGCTCAGTAATAGACTACTTGCCTAGCATGTGCAAGGACCTCAGTTCAGTGCAAGGAAGGAGAGGAGGGGTGAGAAAAGAGGAGGAAGAAGAGGAGGAGGAATTATGGACTGCAAGTTATTTAAAGAACATGCATACAGTGTTTCTAAACACTTGTGGCTGTAGCAAATACTATAATCGTGTATAATATTTACATATGTAAAACCTCAAGACTTAAAGATTTATTTCACATGTAGCTCTTATTTACAGGTAGATACATTTTTGGCTATAGAATTGTTTTCTGCTTTTACCATTATGAATAATTAAGCTCTTACTAAAATGCCATAACCTTCACAAATATACTTTCTTTCTTAACCATTAGTTTACTGTTGCTTTGGGACAGAGAAGTTTGATATATAATGATATAAAAAAACACTTTTAAAGATGTTGTTATATTTAATGTTAAATTTACAGGTATTGGTTCGTTCAGTGTCAGCCCTGTGGCACTGGAGCCCCAAGGAAGTGTCATATCTGGTTGACACTTGCTCCATCCATTTTCCCAACTGTGTCAAATACTATGGGGCCTGCATGGCTTGTGATGGAAGAAATGTTGGAGGAACTCTGCATGGGAAATGTAGTAAAACTGGCTATAAAGGAAAAAGACGGAGTGCGATGAAGGCCAGTAGCAGGGGTGCTGAGCCTGTTCTTACAAGTGTCACCTGTCTGGATTTATTTTCCTTCAAAATCTTCTGATTTCACTTGTAACTCTGAAATAGAAGGCATAGAAGGACTCTATGCCTTTCAGTGAGGAAAACTAGTCCCAGACAGGGACAGTGGCTTACACCTAAATGCCAGCCCTCAGAATGTGGAGGCAGGAGAATTTTGAGCTTCAAGACTAGTCTGAGATACACAGTAGGACCCTGTCTTAAAACAAAACAAAACAAAATGTTCCTAAGAACTGAGGAACAATGTGGACTTTACTGTTTTTGTTTTGTTTTAATACAGAGGATAGAATTACATTTGCATATTATACAACAAACAACTTGATAAAAATTCCAATGAAATGTTTCACATCTGGGCAGAGGGTGTGCCTAGCATCCAAGAGGTATAAATGCTGGACATTTATCTGAGTTTGCTAAGTCATCTTTGGTGAAGGAAAGACCTCTTTTTGTTGTAGTTATCAGTATGTCACCCGCACATTGAACCAAATATACCTGATCAAAACAGAAAAGTGGAGCTGGCGGTGGACAGAGTAGCTCCTTCCCAAAGATCAGCCTGTTCAGAGAAGACAGTGGAGGGCGGGCACAGCAGTAGTTAGAAGCTAAGCACTAGATGCCATATGATTAGGCAAGGCGCAGCAGCAGGTGACAATTAAAGGCGGGGCAGGAATGTGGGGCTGGAGTCCTGTTTGCAGCCAGTGAGGAAGGCTGGCAGAGCAGACATTGCCTACGGGGGAGTCCTGAGACACCCGCACTAGGCAGCCTCCAGGAAGAGGCTACTAATTAATGTGCTCATCCAGCCTCACCTACTGCGTCTACTCTGGTTTCTGCTCTTCCCGGAGCACACAGTGGCGGAAGAGATGCAGCTGGTCTTTCTCTGTCTGTCCTGTCCATAATTACACCCTCTCTCAATTTCGTTTGGTTTTTGTTTCATTTTGTTTTTGAAACAGGGTCACTAGCCTGACTGACCTCAATATCCCTATGTAGCTAAGTATGACCTTAAACTTTGATCCTCCTGTCTCCAACTCTCAAGTGCTGGGATTAGAGGTGAGTGCCACCGTACCTAGCTTGTATGGTGTTGAGCATAGAATCTAGGGCTTTGTGCATGCTGAGCAAACTCTCTACCAACTGAGCTACGTCCCCAGTGCCCAGTTTCTCTAATCTTACATCCTGACGTCTCTCACTGGGCCTGGCAAACAAGGAACCCACCATTTTTACCTGTATCCACCTTTTTTTGAACATGGTAGGACATTTATAATTATCAAATGCTTTGTTATGTCTTAATGGTATTTTTCCATGTTACATAAGCAACAGGAACAACTTGGATAGAAAATTTCTCCTGACTAGACTGCTATATCCAACCCAGTATCTTCTTTAATTCCCATAGCTAGACATTTATCTCCCTTACCTCCAGACAGATGCACATTACATCTGTGTGATTTCTCCTCTTTCTAAGCATGGTACAGTTTAGATTATTTCTTGTTTCTATTTGTTGAAAATATGAATACTACTTTGATTTTTTTGGGGGGGAGGTCTTTTTGAGACAGGGTCTCCCTATAGCTCCAGCTGGCCTGGAACTCATAGAGATCCTCCTGCCTCCGCTTCCCAAGTACTGGGATTAAAGGCATGCATGCAACACCACACCTGGCTGCCACTTTGAATTTTAATTTCATATTCCAGGACACTAGTTTTCTATAAAGATTGATATGACTTTGGGGGGGGGGTCAGGTAAGAAAAATAGCTAAGATTAAACACAAAGTCAAAACCACATATAGATTTGGCTTTTCCTGTGCAGTAATAAACGTGACTTGGTATGTCATTTTCTCTGCCTCCAACATAGTTTGACTAGTTCATCAGAGGAACTAATTCTCTAACACAAAAGGTAACCAGGGCCGAGACCACCAAGAAGACTCCAGAAAGTGGATTAGCCATTCCTTTGTGCTAATTCTGAGCCTCAAACACCCGACTAGCTGTTAGCTGCTTGACTTTTGACCATTTCTCCTGCTGCTTAAAGGTGTACAGCTGGGATGTGTATGTTGAGTGTTTCCTAGTCTGACCACAGAGCATTAGCAGAAAAGAAGGTCAAAGTTTATGCTGCACCAGTGCTCAATAGTAATACTCCTGCACTTTCATCACGGCTATTTTGTGAGTTCCTTTGTTTTTGACTATTGCAATCTAGCTGAGGCACTGAAGAACTACATTTTTTTTTTTTCTTTTTTAGACAGGGTCTTATTCTATAACCTATGCTGGCCTAGAGCTATGTAGTCTAGGCTGGCCTCAAATTCAAAGTAATCCTTTGGTTTTAGCCTCTTGCATAATGGAATTACAGATGTGAATCACCACACCTGGCTACATTGTCTTGGAAAAATAACACAACTTTTGTTTTGTTTTGTTTTTTGAGACAGGGTCTCCCTGTACCCCAGCTGGCCTGAAACTAACTGGGTAGACCAGGCTGACCTTGAGAACTCACAGAGATCTACCTGCCTCCACATTCTATGTGTTAGGATTAAAGGCGTGTGCCACCAGGCCTGGCATTAAAAAACAACTTTTTACAGAAACATGTAAACAAAACTCTTTCTAGGAATGATTTTGACTAAATTTTCTGAGCACATTCAATCCTAACCACTAGAGCACCAGGGAGCATCTCACCTGGGTATTTTGAAATCCACAACTCTACAGTTGAATAGCTGACCAATCAGCACCAAATTTTCTTCTTCCAGTTGATGAACAGAATTTTCTAATTCTTCAACTTCCTTCCTGTGAATTGCGATCTGTTTGCAGAAGAAGGGAATGGGCATTGGTACATACTTAATTTATTGAAATCTTCTATATTGAATTCAACTCCTAAAAATGCATTTGCCTGAGGGAAAGATCTAGCATTTGTTACGTATTATGAGACTTGTTTGGTCCTCCCTTCGGAAGAAGGATGGTAGGAACTTGTTTCATGGGTAGGCAGTTATTGTAGAACAAAGCTGTTCTTTTCTACCCTTTATATGTAGCACTGAATTTTAGATATGTGCTAGAGGCAGAGATATGAAAAGAATTAATTTAGCAATATGATATATTGGCCAATGAGTGGGGATCTATTCAGGGTAATTATAAACAAGACAATGAAAACTGACAACACTGGAATAACTGAGATATATGATGGCATTTTTCTGAATGCTTAGAAGCCCTTTCTGTCAGTCTCTATACTACAATTATGTTCTCTTTGAGCCTGCAGTCAGTTCTGAGAAATGCGAGGCATATGAAATATTTGTTACTTTGTTTATTCTGTCGTAGTGAATCCTTACTGTATGTGAGAAAAAATATTGTAACTTGGGAACAAATGATCAAGATACAACAACTTCTTAGAATCTCTTAACCAAGTGGGAAAATGCTGATGAAAACAGAAAACAATGGAATAAAGACCTTAATGGGAGCTATTCAGACGTTGTGGGAAGGGGAGATGCGGGTGCTGGGAAATGAAGTGTTGACAAGAGATGACTTCTAACCAGATCTTGTGAGTCAAGTAGCAATTCTCTGTGCAGACACAAAGTGATGTCTTCTAGGGAGAAGGGGTCACATGTGCAAAGGCACAATTACTTTGATGTGTGTACACCTAAGGTGGGACTGGGCAGAAGCAGGAGAGGAACTGGAAAGACTTAAATAGTGCTGAGGAATGTGGTTTTTATCCTCAGGGTGATGAAAAGTAGCTACTAAACGGGGCAGATTTAGTTAAATTTTATTGAGTAATTATGACTCAAATATGAACAAAATTTGCTGGATTGTTTGATGGGGTTCCCATCAGTCCTTAAAAAGTGTGTTTGGGAATGTCTGTCTAAAGAAGACTCATCAGCCATGAGCATGCCCAGACTTCAGAAGTGGCCTGTCTCTACTGTCTTCAGCTGCAGCATAAAGGTCTCAGTGAGACCTTTCAAATCACCAGTGCCACCTTGTGCCAGCAGATCTGGAAGCTGGTGAAAGATAGGCCGATCATCTCCAAGCCTGTGACTGTCTATTCCTGGACTTGAAGCCTAGGAACACCTTGACTCAAAGGAGGGCAGGGATATAGGCACAGGTATCAGAAGGGTACTGTGGATGCTTGAATCCTACCCAAAAGGAGGAGGAGGATGGTCCTGCATGGGCTACTTGAGAGATACTGTGAATCTAAGAAGGTTAGCCACCTTATGTGTTACAGCCTGTACCTGAAGGTGAAGGGGGTTGTGTTAAAAAATGAGCAGATTCTCATGGAACACACCTATAAGTTGTAGATAAACAAGGCCTGCAAGAAGCTCCTACTGACCAGACTGAAGCCTGAAGGTCTAAGACCAAGGAAGTATGTCCGACCAAGAAGAAGGGCATCCTCAAGACTGTCCAAAGAGTAAGAGACTGAGAAATGTAGCTCCCCTTTCCTGTCTGTCCCTCAGGGGTGCCTTGATGAATGATCACACAGATCAGTCATTAAAATAAAGCAAGCTTTTATCTGTAAAAAGAAAAAAAGAGGGTTATCAATGGAAGAATACACAGACAGATATTACTCTATAGAACCCCCAACCTGTCTGCCACCCAGAGCAGTATGAGCTATTCAGGTGCTAGAGCAGCATATGTTCATGGGAGAGAGTAGGACAAGAGAATTAGAGCCAAGGGTGGAAAATCCAAAGTGATAGGCTGGCGAGACTACAGGGGCAGTAGTAAAGAGTTCTGAGGGAACAACAACAATGAAAAGCACAGGAGTGAAAACGTACTATTTCTCATCAGTTGTTGCTGAGAGTACAAATGAGCAAGTATTCAGAAGGAAGCAATGAATGGTTTCTGCTTTGTTGCTGAGAGTTAATGATAGCTTGGAATCCTGAAGCAGTCAGTATATTACCACCTGCACATCACAACAGCTGTTTATAAAATATATGAATTCTTATATGGACAAGCTTCTGAGCTAGAAGGAGAAAGATACGAAGGTAAGAGACCATCCCTTCAAGACAGTATGTAATCTGGTGAACAAAGCCACAGGTAATTAGAAAGCAATACAGTGTCTTGGAAAAGACCCAAGCACTGCTGGTGGTTTGAATTTACAAAGGCATATGTAATTTACTTGCCTTAAGCAAGTTGATAACATTATTTAAGTATATAACAGTGTCGATGCAAAAGCATAACTCTTACCTCAAAGGGGATAAGAAATAGTTTGTTCTGGAGCCAAATATGAGTGACCATGGCCCAGGAACACAGATTCAGGTTACCCCAAATTCCATGTTCCAGCATGGTAACAGTTGCCTTATGTTTTTATAGCAACAGAACAAAGAAAAGTCATAAATCAAGACACTTTTCAAATACATTGGAGGATACATTCAGTAGGTGGGTCGCAGCAAAGCCGGCGGGTTTTTACTATAGGTCTCAGATGGTATCTGATGACATTCTTAGCTTTTGGATTGGTGACATCTGGTGGTCTCCTAAGTTAACACATTCTAAAAGGTTTTTAATCTGTTAGTCACAGGATGTTAGATCAGAAACAGAGGTGAGTAAAGAGTGGCTGTTTAGGGGGCTAAAGATGGCCTGAGATAAATGGTAATAAGACTCTGGACCTGCAACATTCCAAACTCTCCACAGTCTCTGGAGTGATAATCAGTCAGCCTTGCAGGAAGGTCAGTCCAAGGTACAGAAGTTCTTTTGGGGAACTTTTCTTTCATAACAGTAAATCACAAAGCCAAGGGTTGGTTTTAGGGTCTCATATGTTGAGATAATTAACTTATGAGCTTGAATGCCTTAAGGAAAATTTTATGATTTTCAAAGCATGTGAAAGAAATTACAGAGGTTGTTAATAGAGGAAAATAATAGAACACTTGGAAAGTGCTTGACTTAAGGGCTTGGCATGCTTGGGAGGCTGCATACCTAGTTCTTGACCTCTTTCCAAAGTGGGGAATGAGGTCTCTTTTGGCTAGTTAATCCAAACTTTTGGGCTAAGGATGTCTTATGACATCATCTCCATCTCGAGAGTACTAAGTAATGGTCTCATCATTGTTGTCTCCCTCTGAAATATTAGGACATGAAAACTAGTTTCTTTTCATAATCATTCAAATACCTTTAGATTTGGGGGTAAGAAAAGTAAAAAAAAAAGGGGGGGGAAAAGATGGAAAACCATGTTTTCCCAAAACACATTCAGAAGTACAGAAATTAGTCTAGATAATCTAAATTATTTCAGCCAGGACCCTGACTAAAATACATTCTTAATGTTTCCTTCTGAAAGACATTAGCTTTATACCTCCTTAAACTCAACAGCGATTGCTAATTCCTTGAATCGCTTTGTCTGATTTCTCTGTGTTTCCCTTTGTTGAGTTAATGTAAGACATTTGGAAATTTCAGCTGCCTTAGTTTTCCTAATAAGAAGGATAAATGAAACCAGATAACAAAAATTGGGCACTAAGGTATCTTGGTATCCTTCCCAAAGAGCTATGATTTTTGTTATTGTTGAGAAATAATAAAAATAGAGACATATTCTGAGAAGATCCATGATAGAATGCCCCAGTTGCAGAAATTCTCGTTATCAATCAGCTACTTCCCTCCCTCCTGGGATGGGATGTTTGTTGAGACTTCCCAAGACAGCCTGTCTCCTTGAGCAAATGGTCCCAAGAAGAGATCATAAACCCTCTCTCTCTCAAGATAAACCAGAACAAATGGTTCAAGGAAGAAGGGGGCCATAACAGGGCCATAAGCTTCTCAAGAGTGCGCCTGATCTGCACGTAGTCAGTCAGCCACAGCTATCTCCTATATAAGCCCTTCCGCTGGGGCAACAGTCAGCTCCAGCATGTGGAAGGCTGCTGTCCCTCACTGAGGTGCTTCAATAAACTCAGTTTTGCCTGAGGTCAGGTATGGTCTCCTGCTTTCTCTCCTATTGTTCCTGCATTCTGTGCCCCAAAACCTAACAATTCATCATCAACACTCCTTTGTCAACTTATTATACATCTTCCCCAAAGAAACTGACTTAATTGTTCTGTTTCTGAGCAGCTTTAAAATCTTGTGATAATACTTAAAATAAGAAATAGTTTTCATTAATTATGTGAGTAAATTTAATCATGCCCAAATGAATATTTATTGTAATAGAGAAATCACTGAGTTTCCTTAGAATTCTTTGGCCTTTATTACCAAGTTCTTTCTATGATTCAACTAAACTTGCCATTTTCCCTTTTATTTCCAGTGCATTATAAGAAGTAAAAGAATAAAAACAAGCCGAATATAATTTATAGCTTTAACAAAGAGTCAGGGTACCAATATAATCTTTCTTCTCAATCAAATATAGACTTTTTAAAAGTTACTTTTCTTAAACCCAAGATCTGTGACATCTTTTAAAAAACATTTTATTATTGATTTAAAAAATTTTGTGTGTATGAATGTATTGTATACATGTATGTAAGTGCACCCATGTCATGTAATGCCCAGTCAGAAGAGAGTGTTGGATTCCCCTAGAACTGGAGTTATAGATGGCTGTTAGCTGTCATGTGGGTGCTGGGAATTGAACCCGGTCCACTGCAAGAGCAGTCAGTGCTCTTAACCACTGGGCCATCTCTTTAGCCCCAAAGCATATAATATTTCAACTTCCTAATTTCCTAGACCCACTGACTCCACTCTGTCAAATGGAGAAAAAAAGAAGGGAGAAGGAAAGGCTAAAAAATAATATTCCTATCTTGATGTTTTGGACAGATGGGAAAAAACAAGAGGAGGAGAATACTGAATATGGAATTTAACAAGTCCTGATGTAGGAATATTGTCTTTAAGTGCCTTTAGGATATCCATGCACAAA